GTGCGCATTCATCATTATTGTGGGGTTGGGCCAAGTCACCAGTGTCACCAGCCCAACGCCCATCCATTACATCGCCCTCGACAAGTGTGTCAGGTCCAAATAGCAGTCGGCGGTTGTGTCGCGGCGAACAAGTTCAAAATCAACTATTCTTGGATGAGTTTTCAGGCCACACCAGGCACTTGCACAGTTTCCCAGCAAGGGAGCTTTAATCGCACTAAATTCCAGAACGAGTTTCAGTTAATTTCTGCTACAAGCTCCCGCTGAACAAAGGCAACAAACGGCTATAAATAAACTAAACCCATGACCCCATTAAAAAATCAGTACAAAACTCGAGTAAATAAACCGAACAACTTTAGCTGACCAACGAAAAAAGTCGGAAATAAACTACGACCGAACTGCACTCAACTTGTAATGAAGTTTCAATATACAAATCAATAAGGACGAAGCAGGCAGGCCAACCTCCTTAAGTCTAGGACCTGCAGACTGCACACCGCCCTGAAAATACGAACAAAAACCAAACAACTTCGACGTCGAGAAAGGAAGCAACAATCTGGGCGATGCACAGATGAGGCCCACTGATGTTGGGGTCAGTTGCAAAGTTTTTAGACTCTCCAATCCCGTAGAAGAAAATCAAAGGAGTGGGGAAGGACTGGATATCTGGTCGGCATCGGCAGGAAAAGTTAATGATGTCACTTCCACTTTTACCCAGAGGCCGAAGACATCAACCCAACCGCCTTCCATGCGAGTTGAGGCAGACCGAAGTGGAACGTGTGAAAAATACTAAACTATTAAACTATCGATGGGCACAGAGCCAGAGCCAAAGAAACCGTTTAAGCCACAAGGATAAGGGCCACATGATTGGAGGGATCATCTTAGTGGCTACACGGAGCAAAACAAGGATATTTTATTTGTGCGACACATCAGCTGCATGAAGAGGAAATATGTTAAGACATTAAGTAAAGAAAAGGATTGCAAGTTATAGAACAAGTGAGTAAGGAAAAACAATCTGAAAATCATTTGCAGTTTATTAACATCTGTCAAACCCTAAAAGCTACTGAATTCTTTCAAAGTTGTGCAAATATTCCTGACAACTGCTCGACCCTTCTGATGTAATTTTAATCTCTCTCAAACATTAAGCTAATTCGACTGGCTTAAATACGAAACAATTACATCACTCAAACTTAACTAAGGGTTGAGGAGTGAGGCCGAGAAGAAACACCAATAATCGCGCAACGCACTTAGCCAAATTTCAAGCAATTAAATCTTTAATTCGCGCTTAAAAGCTGTTTTACCCACAGCTTCCCTCTAGCCATTTCCCCTATTTTCTGTGGGGCTTGCTAACTAATTATAAAACGGATGCGCCGCATTTTCCACCCCGAGTCCCTCCCGTCTGCACTTTTTTGGGAGCGCTTTGTTAAAGGCCGCAAGTCCCAACCAGAAAAGGGACAGATAAATGCGACGGTCTGCTCCTAAAATAACAGTATTTTGCATAATTGTTGACCCAGAAAGTCCGAAAAGAAAGCAGCAACAAAACAGGGGGAGCAATGCTGCAAAGAATGTAATTTCTTTTTCTTATTTTCCCCCGGTATTTTCCCCCGGCGTCGCTGTGGGAACCGCCAGTGATTTGTAATTAGGAAACGGCCGCCAACTGTCGCCTTGGTTTTGGCCTGGCTTGGACGATGCCACGCCCCATTTGCACCGCAAGGGAGGCGGTGGCAGTGGCAGCGACAGAGGCAGCGGCAGCGGCTGGAGGCATTAGCGAACGTTAAATACCCAAGTGCCATCTGCTAAGGGGAAAGCGGCAACAAAAAAAAGGTGACCGGGAAAATTAAATGAATGAAAAGTGCTAGAAGAAAAGTGTAAAGCAATGACGGCGACGCCTGGTGCCCCCTTGAGTCCTTCCCCTTCCACATCCCTTTGGCCATTTTCGCAGTTTGCGGCTTGGTGGAAAAGCGAGGGGGAGTGCGGGGGCGGTAGTGGAAAACTGAGGCGAAGATTCCACCCATTTGTGTGCGTAGTTGGCGAAAGTTTATTAAACATTTAAATTCACTCATTTCTCTTTGGGGCTGCTCCTTTCTTTTCTGGCTTGGGAAATGACCAAAAATTGAAATTATTTCTTGTCCGGTGTCACCATTCTGGGCATCCGTTTCGGGTAAGAGGCGGGATCCCCGGCTAGCACCGGTCCTTTCGCTTAAAAGTAAATCCATTGATGCAGAACTTTTGAAACTTCATTCACAACGGAAATTTATAATTTTTGGGCCAGCGGCCTCGGCCGGTCCTTGTTTACTCATGTCCTGCATGCTTCCGTTTTTCCACTTAACCATTTCTCTGCCTTTTGGGCCACCGGAAAAGACCTTTTCTTTCTGCATAATTTCGGGAAATATGTTTGCAGCAGTTGGTAATATTTCGGCAAAAGTTTGGGGCTGAAATTTATGGTTGGCCATTGCTTACAAAACTGAAAAAAGCTGGCTTTTTCAGGGCTAGTGTAAATTTAAATACAAGAGAATGGAATTAATTAATTTATTATGTTTGTATGGGGCCTATTTATCGAAAAAATCCATGTGTGGTTTCCTCTTTATTGTTTTTAAAAATTTTAATAATGAACTGATGACAGAAAAAACACAAAATAATATTATTGTGTTTTAATGTAAAATCGAGATGTTATTGTTTAAATATAACTTCATTCAATGAAAAAACAAAAAATTCATAAGTTCGTTAAACTTAAACACTTTATGTGCATACGATTAAAGTAGGAAACCGATGTCCTCACTGCTTTGAAAACTTCTATCTAGAGCACATTTTTTTTCTTCGTTACTCCCTTTTCAATACTTTTTTTAGATTTTAAATTATTTTAGATTAGCATCAAAAACCGAAATGCGACCCATAAAAGGTATGTGCTATTTCATAAGTTTATATACTAATCGATCTGATTTCTAAAACCTCCCAAATAAGTCTTAGGCACCTTAACAAGTTTTGGCAAATGACCAAGATTGCTGCAGAGGGCGAAGTAAACTCTCGATGAAGATGCATCCTTGTCGGTAATAAAATCGCTTTTACACATAATGCTTAGCCAGCGCAAATCTCATTCAAACCACTTGGCTTGGCTTTGATTCCGAAAGCCCCGAAAACTTTTGCGCCCTCAAATTGAAAGGAGTTTTTGTTGGGCACGTGTGTGTGGTTTGCTTGTGACTAGGCTCTTTGGCATTAGCCACCCACCTTTACTTCTTAAGCCACCTTTCAGTTCTTGCGAGGAAAACACCCACTCCCACCTCCTCTTCCCACTTATTAGAGGAAAAACAGGTGAAACTCATCCTTGAGGCGGTGACGTTGCACTCGGAAGCAGTCGGAACTCGCAGCCCAGAAAATGGCAATAATGAAATCAAAATGTGAATGCCCTTTGCATTTCCTACTTACAGTTTGACCCTGTTACGAGTCCGGGCCAAAGCAAGAGCTCCAGCTGAAACTAAATCCGAGCCTGGTCAGCCTGCAGGCTCTTCCCTCCCATGCCCCGTCACCTCCCAAGCCGCCCATTGAATAAGCACTCATTAGTTCCCTTTCGGAGAATTATGCGGCTTCGTAGCTTTGGCTGCAGCATAAAATTTGCATTTGAATGCTGCGTTCAAAAGTTGAGACAAATCCTTGGCGGGCATTCCTGCTAAGCTGCGGCTGCTTTTGCGAGGATTCCTTCTCGATAGAAGAGGAAAGGGTATTTTAGGAAAGCTTATTCGAGTTACAAGTGCCTTTGCTAGAACATTTTCATAGTCTATTATTTACCTGACTTTGTTTAAGTTGTGCTGTTGGTAGCGAGTGTAAGGATTTTATTATAGAAACTGGCGTATAATTGTAAATCTTTGCAGCCCGTATTGTAATGGTAATTATAATTTGGGTTGGAGGTTTGCAAGGTAGTGAAGAATACATGTGTGGAACATCCACAATATAGATTTTAGTTTTAGCAAAAGGGATACAAGCATATATTTTTAGACTTGTCAAAGCTTCAGCTTTCTTTCTCGTTGCACTTCTCATTAGTTATCACAATTTAGGTCAAATGCTTTTGACATTTTCATTTCATCAAAAAAATGGGCTTAACAAGTACTGAAGCTTACCAAAAAAATAAGGAAAAGCAAAGTAAACATATATATCACTAAATTTTTTAAATCTGTAGCTTATTTTGCTTTACAAATCTATAGTCGTGTTCAGGTCTTTTCCATTTAATTAATGCCCTTATCATTGAAGTCTGGGTAGAGATTTCTTTTATTTCGAATTACTCGATATCCCTACATTGATTTCCAGACACAATGCGAATGGCAACAATTGCTGGACATCGGCTGCTTTAATGGAAATTCGGAAATCAAAACCCTAAATCCTTTCAATCACGTTCGTCCTTGATGTCCTTCGAATTAGACAACAAGTTGACCTTGACCCGATGACCATTGTTAAGCTCTTCGAGCTTGGCTAGATTAATTTGACATTTTTTCCACCGCTTTTGTATTTCGAGTATACATACATACATACGCTCGAAATGCTTTAATCGTAATCTAAAAGACTTTTAGAGATTTTAGGAAATGAAATATTCGTTTTCGAATTGGCGGTTTATCAGGGTTTGTTTTGTAGAATTGGAAATAATTTTTTTTCGAATTAATACTTAAACAGTTAAAGTACCATAATTAAAGGAGACTTGATATTAGGGCTAAATTAATTTGCTTACCCAAAATAAATGATATTAAGATTTTGTAGATTATATTTTTACACTGGTTTGGATGTATTGCGCTAGTTTAAGGCAAGTCACAATATAATTGCTTAAATCAATCAGATCAGTAATTCATAAAATGTAGAATAAAGTATAATTTATTCAGATCAATTTTAAAATATTTCAATCGTAGCTCTAGGAAAACCTCTAATGATTAAAGCGATAACGATAACGTTTGTAAAGCTACGACCGTGGTTGCCATTCACACGTAAGTAATGACATTTCGATTTATGCAGTTTACCGATTATCCATCCCTGGCAACTGCGTATTGTGAAATAACCCAATAAGTGATCTTAGTTCTTATATCTACAATGTCAAAGACATTTTTTAACGCCAATAATTGCAATCACATGGCGGAAGATGAACCAGAGTGTAAGGACTTCGAGGAAAAGTGGGAATTATCATCATCTGACGAAGATACAGACAGCGATGTCCTGATTGTCGAAGAAGACTCGCTTGACTCTTCCGAAGTCGATTTCCGTCAGACTCCGGAGGATCATTCCGGGGTTACCCCAAGAGCACCATCCAAAGCACTTGGTGATAATGATCAGCAAGAAGTCCCAGTTCTAGAGCCAGATAGATTTTTAGAACAACAAGACGAAAATTGTGGGCCAATCAACGTGGTCGACGCTGGGTCATATATATGTTTTTCAGAAGACGTCTCTGAAGTACACCGTTTGATCCGGTATCACAGTCAGGACATAATTTACCAGGCATGTGCGCCCATGAGGAGTCCTTGCAGCCGGCACAACCGTATCCTGCACGACTGCTTCGAAGTCAACTTAACTGATGTGGCATGCACGCTGCTGAACTCGGCGGTTCCCCGACTACAGTGTCCCCTCCATGTGGACGAACGAACGGTGCAATACATCGCCCAGGGACTCTGCCGTGCCATGAACTTCGTCACCGAAACGGGAAATCCCCTAGTGCGACGCCAGGGTGTCGGTCGCCTAGTGGCCGCCATTATGCTGGACAGGCGGACGGGCGACCTGCTGGCGTACGTCCTGGCCCAATTGGTGCCACAGGCACTGATGGACGGCGACTCAGGAGACGTGGTGGGCATGATGCTCCATCAGGTAACTCGCGGATTCAGCGCCGACGACAACTATTGCCGCATCATCACCGATTACACCGGGCCGTTTCTTTTGACGGTTAACCACATACCAACTAACTAGCGCCTGTTTCCACTTCTTCTTCGGGTTTTGCCTACCAGTTAATAAAATCCATCTATTAACTCAAATATGGTTCAGGAATCCATGAAAGCACAAGAAAAGAAATATCATTTTTACTAAGTTTTTGGATACAAAAAAAAAAATATATATATAATGAAAAATTTTAGATTTTGAAAGACCTTAAACTGCTTGGAATAAGGGAATTATTTTTACTGTAAAATGAAGTACATTAACGAAGTCGTGAAAACACCAGGAAAAAAAAAACAACTTCCTTAAAGAGCTTTAAAATCGAAAGAAATTCATTTTAAATATTTTTAATTTTGAACGCTCAGTATTTTATCGTGTTATAATTCTTACAAAATAAAAACGAATTAATTGTATTTAAGTTTTATACCTACTGGCAAACAATTTAATTTTATATTTTTGAAGAAAAGCGTGTAACTTGGTATCTTGTAACACTAATTATCATTTTGTAACTTTAAAGTTATTTTAGTTTTGAAATATTTGTCTCATCAGTTCAATTTAATGCAAGATGTTTTGATTTCCGTTTTAAAAATCCAATAAACTATCCAACAAGATGTTTCCAAATCATATATTTGCGAATATTTACTTAACCTACATAATCTTCCCGAACATATGTACGAAAATAAATTAGCTTATTTTGTACTTACCATAAAACCAAAAACTTGTTTTCTTTCTGAGCCAATATCCCATATGCGTGGAGTTGTGCAAAAGATCTCGTTAAGTTATTCAATTTTATTCTTTTATTGTATGTAATGCAATAAATTTGTCAGTTAAAGTTTCACATAGTTCTTAGTTTCGTTTACATATGTATGTGTAAGTATTCCTTTCGTTATTAGTTGGTACTTAACAATAAACTTTGCTATATCATGGATACACGTGAGTTCGAGTGTCTGTCTTTAAAAAGTAATGTCCACACCTCGCTTCGATTTCGGGACGTTTGCGTGTAATGCGATTTATTTACAAATAGTCGGGGTGTTGATAATTACACGTATGGAGTTTATACGTTAATCGATTTGATGAAAAACACTTAAGAGCTTAGAAATGTATTTTGATTTCGATTCGTATAGTACTTGCTATGGTCATATATGTACGCTGCTTAAGCCTAACAAAGTTTCATTGTTCAACATTCAGTTTTACGGGCTGTTCAATGGGTTGTTGGTGGCTTTTTGGCGGGAAAATAAAAGGCCGAAAGAAAAGTGGCAGGGGTTGGGTGGGAGGTTGCCTCAAAGGCGGTTAGCCGCAGACCGCGAGCATTTGATGCATGCAAGCGGGAATGTGTTAATTGTCCACACCCGTGAAAAGAATCCCTGTTCAATTAACCCTCCCCTGCCCGCCCCTGATGTAAAATTGACCGCAGAAATTTATTTCCGTGGCATTTTTCTCGCCCAACTGGCGAGTGTGTGTTTGCTCACAGCTGCTTGCGGTTAACTTGGCCCAGGATCAATTTGTTAAACGCGCAAAGGCGAGCGCATCAAGTACACGCAGGGTGTGACAACCAGCGCCTTGGGACAATCGCACACATAATTAATGCCGCTTTGAGGGCATTGTTTGAGTGGGAGCATGGTGTATGGGTGTGTGCGGCGTGCACCTAATTGCAATTAAGTTGACGACGCTGCAGCCTCAGCTTCAACGCAAGGCCAGAGACAAGTTTAATTAATTTCAGACGATTTTTATGGGATTTGCCGAGGATTGGGCGAGTGTGTGTAATTAAAAAGGACGTTAAGTGGATAAATAAATACGAGCCGGGCCTGCGGGTTCGCGCTGCACACGATGTTTACATTCTGTCCGTTTGATTTCGTTTTATTTATTCCTTGGCCGCCTTCCGCCTTTGTCTCCTGCCTGCTATTTATTCGTTCATTTTATATATTTATTTGTATCGTTTAAATGCAATTCATTAGTGTTTGGAATACGTCTCTGGTTGGGCTCTGCCATTTATATATCATTTGTTTGTATATTCAATTAATTTACATTTTTGTTGAACAATTTCGCAATAGAGTTATATACAGTTCGCGAGTCAGTCCGCTCAATTCAATAAATTTACTTTCGTTATCAATTAAATTGTTTTTGTTTGCTTTTCTGTGTTATTCTGCGTTCTGCTGGCTGTCCATTCCGACCAATGCATGTATTTGCTATAATTTTTTGTTCCTTACGCAATTATTTACTTTATGAATTTTGGTTTTTCCCGCATGTTTCGAGCTTGTTCGTGAGATAAGAGCACATAAAATAGAGTTCCATAAATTGGCTATGCAAATGTTTGCGATGTTTCGCACTCATATCGGACAGTCCATAGTCGTGGGTGTTTGGGTTCTGTTTGCCAAATATAATATTGGGTAAACTCCTTGGAAAGCATGTAGAAGTTCTCTGATCCTTGGGACGGCCTATTCGAGGGTATACAACTTTGGGTGAATTTATTGGCAGGGGAAGTTCGAATTCGAATTCCCTAAACAAGAATCGAGGTCACCAGCCAGAGTTGGTACTTGCTAAAAATAATAAATATTCAAAACTGTCCGGCATTCGTGAGTGTGTGTGAGAGAGAGAGGGGGCATAACTGTGCGAAGAGTGCGGGAAATATTGCTAATTGAAAAGTTCAGCATGTCGCCACATAGGAAGGAGACTGCAAATGTTGTTCCAGACTCAAATTGCCATGCAAATGCATTCGAGTTGAATTTTTCCAAAAACGCATTCATTTGATGGCAGGAATTTCCTATCCCCGTTCCCCCATCCTTCCCGCCTCTTCCATGAGACCCGGAATGGAATCAGGATATCGATGCAATTTCACATCGAACTGCATAAATATTTACGGTTATGCATTTATGCAAACTTACTTGGCATTTCCCACAAAACGGAGGCCCCCGAAACCAAACCTAAAACCGGAAACCAAAACAAAAACCAAACAAAAATCAGTTAAGGGACCGCCTAAGACTAGGGGCTTACTAACTAGTTCGCTTAGAGCTTGTAGAACTTACGATTAGCAGGGGGCTCGGGTTCTCGAAGCTGCCTGCGGTAATCCGGGGATTACGGACTCATCCCCTATATGTATCGGTTATTAGTTAGTGGATAAAATCAACTAGCTTACAACATGCACTCGATTATTACGTTTAATCTCTCTCTTCCTGTCGCTTTTGCTATTTGGGTCTATCAAATTACTTTGGTTTTATACTTTTTACGTTGGCAGAGTGTTGGGCTTCCCTTCTCCTCACATTTCAGTAGCTGCTGAGCGTCCTGCTCTTCAGATTGGCTTGCTGGCAGTGACATGTCATGTGCGGTGGCCCACTCCAATGATGAAGACTCCGAGTAGGAGTGCCAGGATGCTGAGGGCGTAGGCCCGTGTGGTGGCTGCCGACGAGGTTACCGCCGAGGCCGACGACTCTCCTGCAAAAATTGAGGGAAAAGTCGGAAAATCAAACACTCTGTCAATTTGGCTCCCATGCACAAAGAGAAAATGTGATCTCAGTGAAAGTGAATCAGTAAAATCGCATACTATAAAATATCTTCATTATAAAACTTCTATTACGATATCGTGGAATTGATATTGGAGATAATAGTGAGTCATTAAAAAATGTTAAAGCAAATTGGGAAAATGTACATTAAAGGAAAAGTCTTCATTGCTCATATTATAAGTTTCTTTCATTTGATTGTTTTTGTCTAGAAAATATATTTATTTTTATAATGGCAAGTTAACAATAAATGTTCTTTAAGTTGGACTGGCCGTGATTGATAATTCTTAAACTACAATTTCAGAGGATGTGTAGTACGTATTTCTCTTAAATTCCCTTTATATGCTCTTATGTATACATATATTTATATATTTTTTCGCGTTGAAGTTCCCGCTCTGTAACTTACCATTTATTATGTTCAGCGTTACGGTCGCACTGGGGCTATTCGACGGGCTACATGTGTAATTGCCAGTATCGCGCTTCTTGGCCGACTCGATGATTAATGAGCCAATCTGCAAAAGAAGAAGGACACAGGCACATACAGTTGCAGATTTAAGTGCCCAAGGAAAAGTTCGGAAAAGAAGAAAAAAGATAAACACAGGCAGATTTCGTTCGGACATGGCGCACGTATTCCAAATATTGGGAGTGCGCCGGAACTGACTTTTTGCGTCGTGGCCGGGCCACAAAGTTATGGCCAGGCAATTAGGCGAAATGCGACAAAACTGAAACTTTTGCCAAACAATATTATAATATATTTTGCTTGCCACTTCTAGCCATGAAACCCATTGGAAATTGGGAGAAATTAAATTAAAATCGACATGGGAGTCTTTTGGCTAAATGCAAGAGACTGTAAACGACAGAGGGAGAACAGCTTTGAAGTTGGTTCACATACCCAAAAGTTTTCAAATTAAATTTGGTATATGTTTAAAGTAAAATTCAAAGTTAGAATATTATAAAATTTTAATGAAATATATTAAATTTTTAACAATAAAATTTCCAGATTTAAAAATATGCAAAGAAAACGAAGCCTTAGTTTCTCTTAACGCGTTACTTTTAGAGTTTCAAGCAAAACAAATAACAAATATATATTTTTTTGTATTTGACTACTAATTTTTTGCAGTGAACTTACCGTGCTCTGGCCATCGCCGGAGGCCTCCGGCAGATTGGGATCGAGCTGCGTGCGGTGGCGGCGGGAGTCGGCCGCCAGTTGCTCGGCGCCGTGGTACCACATGATGAACGTGGGCGGCTCCAAGGCGCCGCGCACGATGCAGCGGAGCACCACGTTGCTGCCCGCCTTCACGTAGCGGTCCGGTTCTCCCAGGATCTCCGTGCGGGGAACTGCAGGAGGCGGAAGAGAAATGGAGGAGGAGGAAGGGCATTAGTGGAAGTGGCAAATTCGGCGCTCCGAAAATTGTGTCATTTCGCTAATCTATTGAATTAACAGCTGCGAGTCACGTCGCACACGTAAATCTGGCTGTGGCACAGCGCCACTCCGCCTCCGAAGAAAATCCACTTTTCAATTTTTCACTTACTGATTCCGGCATGAACTACCCCCCAGAAGTCTCCCTAGAAGTCCCCCAACCGGCGCCTGGGTGATTTTTTGGCCAACAGACACGCACATGCATAACAAACTAAGAGTTGTGTCAAACAAAAATGGAAGAAAAGCAACAAAAAGGCGACGAATAAAAAGCTCACTGGCAAACAAGTTGGAAATGTTGGCGCATACATTTTCACACGACCTTCCCCATCCTTCCCCCTCCGCCAGAAATCACCACCTCGTGCGCCTCCCCCTTCCCCCTGGAAAACTGGGCGTCTTCATTTGCTGGGGCAACGTGGAGCGACGTGAGCTTTGAAATTTGACAAAATCACGTATACGCCGAGTTTTCACTGCTGTTACACAAAAATGTGCAAAATGAGTGCGCCGAGAATTTACACAAAATGCCCGACTATGCCCCAGAGTATCGGTGTGGTGGTGTGTGTGTAGAGTCTGGCAGTGTGTGCGTGTGTATCTGTGTGGAACACGCGCCACGCTCTGGTTTGACACCAAACTGTGTCAGCTTGTCAAAATCGTCATGTTGTTGCATGTTAGTTTTCCAGCTGCTTGACTAGAGATTCGCGACACAGCAGCAAAAATATGCAAAAAAAAAAAAAAATGGAAAAAAATAGCAAATAGAAGTGGGGTCTGGCAGCTGAAGCAGCAGCATGTGCAATGTTATTAGCAACCGTTCCACTTAAACACCCACGCAACTTGGCTCTGGGGATATCACCGCCCGGTGAGAGAATAATTTTCCAGTCAGCAAATTGCTGCACGCATATGGCTCTAATTAAGTCGACGAGGAGTGGGAATGGGGTAATTAAAAGTACCAGTTTCAAATTAATTTATGAAAGTAGGTCGATGTTTTTTTATGCTTTTTGTTAACACAATTTTTTAGATCTGTGAATATACAATTAAGCTTTTCTTCAAGTATGTAAATTATTTTAATGTTATCATTTATTTACACATATGTATGTATTATATTTATTTTAGCTTTATTCTTTTAATTGAAAAATTTTATCAGAGCAACAAAATTGTTTAATAAATATTTGAAAATATTTTTAACCATTAATTATGTTTTAACTTAGTAACCCCTATAATCGCTCCTATAAGTAATCACTCACCCTAAGAAGAAGGAAAACTTAGAACATTTAAACCTTGAATTCTGTAATAAATACGTTATCATAGGGACACCTTTTCAAATTAATTTCGTTAACAACATCGATTCTCAAACTATTATCCTTAGCCTTTATATCTTATTCTGAAAAGAAAAGAAGCTGAATGGAAACCGCAGAAACCCGAAACTTTGCGAACAAACTAAGGTTGACCACACTTTCAGCTAATTCTCCAAACACAAAGGAAACAGAAGGGAATGGAATTGCTTAAGAGTGTCAAGCGAATTGCAGCAACTTAAATTAATTGAGTTTATGGCGAAATGCTTTTAGGGAAATTAGCTGAAGGGAGGTGCGCAGACATCACAGGGAATATTGTCACTTTTGATGGTGAGATAAAATGCGCTTCCGAAAAAATAATAAAACCCAAAGAAAACCCCAAAATTGGCTTTGGCCATACAAGATTAGCAGCAAATTAAATAAGCAGACCGAGCCAGCAAGAATGAATACGAAAGCAGGCGAGGAATGAAAATCTGGAGCCCAGGGATGAGATGAGCTGAACAGAAAACGAATCTCATAAAACCAAATCTAGTTTGTCGTTCAATGATGCAGAAAAAAATATATTCATTCATTCGGCATTCATGTGTGCGTAGCCACGGTGGGTGTGAATGCTTTTCTTAGCGTGAAAAGCTCTCCCATGAATTCGGATAATAAATATAAATCTGGCGAGTTACCCGGGAAAAGTTTAAAAGATTATTGCATAAGTTTGCAGCTAAGCAGACTTGATGTTTTTCGGGGCATTAGCAACGATTTGGCTCCATTGTGCTGCCCCTTTCAGTGACCTAGAAACTTGAGTAAATGAACCAAAACCAAAGAAACTGACATTTTAACCAGCAACAAAGCAAACAAGAATCTCCATCCCGCCAACTTCCCCTGCCGCTGTTAACATAACAAATTGACCGAAAACTACGAGCCTATTACCCCAACTTTGGCTCCGCATCCGAATATGGCCCAGAAATCAGGCAGCAGGCTGGCGAAGGCGAAGGCAAAGGCCAGAGCCTCAACATAAAATCCATTGCCAAAGACTCGGAATCGAATTCATCCATCGCCAACGGAGAGTGGTGGGTCAAGACCGGTGGTTTTTGGCTCCTCACGCTCGGTGGGTGGTGCAAAAATCGACAACATGCAAAGGGAGTTTTGGCCGTTTGCACAGACAAAACGATGCAATAAATACAAATTACATGGCAAAGGCACAAAATCAGCCAAGCAGCGCGACACCAAAAGAAGGCTGGGAAAAGCGGGTGGAAAGAACTGGCAGGAAAAACTGCAAAGAGGTGGTTGGGGGGCGGGGGAATAGGTGCTGCCGATAATGGTTATGGCCAGCAGAATTGGGAGAAAAGGAGCAAAGGAACAGGAAGCACCACACGCACAACCAAATTCAACTTCAAACAAACAAAGGCCGATTGGGCCACGTCGGGGAAATGGAAATGGACGAAGGCCAAACGACTGCAAATAATGGTTATGCAGAAAGGGAGGGCGAATCGGGCGGGAAAGAGACGGATCGCCGAATCCCCGTCGGGCATGAATAGAAATCCTTTATGCTTAAACTTGTCGTTAGATTAACGCAAATGTGGCCGCGCATACGAAATTCAACTGGGCGAATATTTTTGGCTCCAGATGGATACCTGTTGGCAGCCACGCCCTTCTTCCACTACTACGTTTTTTGAAAAAAACAATGCTACCAATATTTAAACTTCGTAACTATAAAAGCATACCAAAAATGAAGTATAAAATAATCAATTTATGGGAGAAAATTAGACCTCGATGGGAAACAAATTGAATTTAAAAACAAGAAAGGAAGCTAGCTTCGGCAAGCCGAAGCTTATATACCCTTGCAGTCATCAAATATGTCGATATAGTTGTCCGATTTTGATCAAATTTAACTCGTAATTCAAGAGTCGTAAGAACACTCTATATTCCAAAAATCATACTTGTCTGATGAAAAACAACGATGTTATCAATTTATTTCCATTAATTCTATATATAATTTTCGATCCCTCCTATGGCAGCTATATGATAGAGTTATCCGATTTTGATCAAATTTAATCCGAAATTCAATAACAGTTAGAAAACGCCATCTTGAAGAATTCAAGTCGATCTGATGAAAAACAATAGAGTGAGAATTTTTTATTTCATTCTCTTGTATTGGAGCTATCCGATATAGTCGGCCGATCCGGCCCGTTCCGACTTATATACTGCGTGCAACAACTACACAACTTTTGGGAAAGTTTCAGCACGATAGCTTTAAAACTGAGAGACTAGTTTGCGCGGAAACGGACAGACGGACAGACGGACAGACGGACAGACGGACAGACGGACAGACGGACAGACGTACATACATATTTCGATTCTGCTCGTGATGCTGATCAAGAATATATATACTTTATGGGGTCTGAGGTGTCTCCTTCACTGCGTTGCAAACTTCTGACTGAAATTATAATACCCTTTTGCTCTGCAAGGGTATAATAAAACATAGCAAATATAAATAAATATAAATAAATTGATTATAAAATGAAATAAAAGTAGGAGATCGGTTTTTGAAATTTTCCATCAATTTACCAAAAATAATTATTAATAAAATAAATAAATTGTAACACCTTTATTCCCACTCAAAAAAAAATATAATAATAGTTCTTTTGGCAAAATTTAAGTCTCTTTTATTTAACAATTAAGTTAAAAAAATTCGAGGTGATTTTTTTTCACGTGCACACGCACACATGAGGTTTGGCATACATGCGCAAGTGTTTAGCATACAAATTAGCTGGGCCGGAAATGCGAAAATCACTTTTTGGCAACACCATTATCCAGTCTATTGCCCTTGCCCTCTTTTTCGGCTGCTCGTCTCCCGGCTCAGCATGTGTCCTTTTTTGCCAGCAGCTCCTTGGGCTGGATCTCCATAAAACCAAAGTGTTAGTTGGATAAAAGAAAATTCAATTTGTTGGCTTCAAATGCAAATTGACTTTTTACTTTCACTGCCTTGCGCTCTCCTTTTCGTTGCTATCTGAGCCGGGCTAAATTGACCTTAAATTGTCAAGGAATTTGAAATGATGGTGTAATTCTCGACAAGAATTGTTCGCCCGGCCCAAGGGCTGTATTTTTTGCCAAACGAATCTCGGTGTGAAGCAAACCTCAACCGCAAAACGGACAGCAATGCTGGGCTGGCGAAGTTGCAACAGCAATCGTTTCAAATGAATGCATCCGTGTCATAGATAAAATCCGAATTCGAATCCGAAATCCAATACCCGTGGCCAAAAAATATTCGCACTGATTTCTGTGTCGTAGCCCCGGGCAATGCGGTTGTTATTGTGCGGCCCAGATAAATAATGTGAGCCAGGGAAATTTCATATCAATTACAGGACCCAGCACATCCTCCAATGCCCTCGACTGACATTTACATTGTTCATTTGGCCTGCTGCTGCTGATGCTGATGCTTCTGCTGCTGTTTCTTCCGGTATGCAAACATGAAATTTAATTAACTTTTTACTCGGTGCTCGGTGTGTGTCTGTGAAACCCAAACGAAACCAGAACCAGAACCCAGCACGTAAAAGTTTTCTCGTTAAAAAACTTGACCAACCAAAGAAATTTCCCCTCCGTTGCTACGAGTGTGTGCTTACTATTTTTTTTGAGCATTTCAATGGGCAATGGTCGGCAGCCGCAATTTGAATGCAATTTAGTGAGTAATTTGAAATGCAGTAGCCGCATGAAACATGCAAAGATCTCGGCCCATGTGTGGCCCTGCCCTTTGTGAGGCTTGTGAGGATGTGTGGCGGGTGAGGGGGCTAGAAAGTTTTCGCATTTGCGACCGCTTGACCTTTGCCTTTGCTTTTGCCGGCCGCAAATTACACGCCCCAACTCACTCAGAGCCCGGTGTCTGAGTGCGAACTCATATTCATAAGCCCCTTAGCCCGGCATTTCATGTTCACGGTCTTGGCCCTGACTTACCCACAACTTGCAGCTGGACTCGGGCGCTGACTTTGGGCTCCGTGGAGACCTGGCACTCGTAGGACCCGGCATCTCGGGCCTGCACGTACTTGATCTGCAGGGTCCAGTACTTGTCCGGCTGCTTGATGGCCAGGAATCGCTGGTCGGCTATGAAGACGGCCCTGAAAAGGAGGAAAACGCAGAAGAGTTGGTTATAAAGTATGGCAAACTTATGTTTTAACTTAAGCATTTCGGGGAAGGATTATAATATTCTTCTTTTTTTTACCATTGCATTCAGCTATAAATGGTTGCCTCTGGCAACACAGCAAGTGAAAGTTAAATGATGGCATTTGCAAAAGTTTTGTATGAATCCTCGCCAGCATTTATTAAAAGTTTATTATTATACAAGAGTAACTACAGTTGTATTTATTTTCTCCAATAGAATTGTAAGAACAAGTTGACAAGGGTAGTCGTAGTAACGTGTAGAGAATTGTAAAGCAGAAAGTATACTTTAGTTCAGGGGTGCTTAAAACGACCATATTTTAATAAGCTCACCAATGCAAACACACATCAGGGAGAAACATTATTTAATTTTGTTGGGTCTAACTCGTATGTGGATGATATTGACTAACAGAAAAGTGAAGAATTATTTGGCTGATACCTCGTGATCATGTGGAGATATTTATGAGCCAGCCTACAGAGAACGCCCTTTTGTGCTCATTTACAATAAAAAGCAAGTACAATGAAGCTATGATCTCCTCGCTGGACGTCATTAAAATTTAAGTAGAAGAAAAGAGCTGGAAACCTGCAGATTAACTCAAAACAATGTAAACTAATAGAAAATGTTACATAGGTGCGCAGTTCAGTTTGTCACGAACGTTTTTAACAAGTGTGGTTCGAAAATATATCCGAATAACTTTGATAACAATATGCCCACTCTCAAATAAAAAGTGTTAAGGTAAGCCATCTGGCTAGTTTTACTGTGAGAACTAAGTCACACCGTTTTAACCTGCTTGAAAACTCCAGGTTGCGGTAACCACGGCCCATTTGGACTGACTTAAAGCGCACACATAGCATAAATTCTAAACAAACGAACAATGGTGGCAGACCCACTTAGTCGAGTCCTCGCTAAGTCCGCTACTAATGGCCACTCAAAAGACACTCAAAGTTATTTAGTTGCGGCATTTAAGCGGCAACTAGAGAAAGAGACGGCAGACTGCGCGGGGAAAGAGTTGACAACAAAGTTGCGTGTTTGGGGCAGGCAGCATGCAAATGTTTTTGTTGCGGAGCTGGGGGAAGCTCAGCAGTAAAATAAGTTGCGTTTAATGTCATTGTTGCAATATTTTGTTCCTTCTTCCTAGTTTTGCTTGCCCCTCCCCCTGGCACCCCGGGATTGCCCCCTGCACTTTGCCTAAAGTGCAAAAATGCTTCCGTCATTTGGCTAAAATGCAGCGGAATGGCCACGCCCACTGCACACATGCGTTGACATTGCTTATTATGTGCCCCAAAGCCGGCTCTTGGCTTGGACCCCCTCCCCGCCACCCTCTTTGCCACCCCCCTCGCTAACAAGTTTTGATGCTAAACCCAGATTAGACCCTTGCGTTTTGCACTCGTAAAACTCGACATTTTATGACTTTTGCCATTTCCTCGGTGCCCCGCTTTTCCTTTTCCTTCCCGCTCCCCCTAAATAGCAAACCCCGTCGCTGTATTTCTTATCAAGATTTTGTAGTTACTTTATAATTTTCATTTCGTTTTAAAGTTTTCCCAGCATGCTTGACTCTTCCTTGGCTCTTATTTTTCTCCTGCTTCCCGAGTTCTTCAGTGTCCCCTATTTGCCATATATATTTTTCTGCAACTCCTTTTGGCCTGTCCCTATTCTGTGGCTTTCTGCGGTCTCTCCGCTCGTTTCTCAAGTGCTGGCAAGTGACCCGATGCGGCATAAGCTTCCATCTGCAATTTATTGTTGTGAAGAAAATTCTGGGAGCAGCTTCTCCTCTCTCTCGCTTTTCTGTGATATAAGCCACACGGAAACTTCGGTTCGTTGGGTGCAGGCAAAAATGTTACTGAAGTGGGCTAATCAAATGGTTCCAATGAGATTTTCGGTAATTTTATACAGAGTTGCATAGCTTGAACGGCATTCTCAGAGTTTAAAATTTAAAGAGGTCTGCTAATCAATTATGAATTGCTTTAATATTCAAACATTTACAGGAGAACAAGACCGGAGTTTACTTTTCTCTCTGTCGAAAACAAATCTAAATCTGTTAGTTTTTGCTTATTAGAGACTGTTTAAATTATTATTAAGGGAATGTGCTCCCTAGAAAGTGCATAATTTCCGGACGGTCTGCTCGTGAGTGTGATAGGGTGTTCCGCCACAAGATTGTTGGTGCGGAATTTTCACTTTAACCTCAGACGTATCTGGCATGATTTTCTCCCCTCGTCGGTTTAAGAGTTTCATTTCCTTCGCTTCGCTTATCGCATCAGGAGCTTGTGCTGCAGCTTGTTGCGGTTGCCACTCGGAGAATGTCATTAAGAGGAAGCTCATCTCCTGCTGCACACGCAACTCCCTCCACATGCCACATATCTCGGTGCCTCTGTGTGTGCGCAGATAAGAGATAACAAAGTAGCCGAGGAACACCTGGCCGGGTAATTACCTCGACCGCCGCCCAAGGACTCCCCACTCCAAGCGACTCCCCATTTCGGCCAAGTAATCCTTTGTAAGCGGGGGGACAGGAGGCTATAAATTGAGGAAAGCATGTGTCCAGCGGCAAAAATGGACCTCGTTGCACGTGACATTTATATGATAGTGTAAACACATCATTTGCGCTATTATACAACACACTCGCAGTGTCGCTGGCTAAAAGTTTTTGAAATCTATTCCCATTATGTTTGATATGCCGGGGAACTGCTGGCGAAGGACAAACAGTTGGGGTTTTCTTTCGAGCGGGCAAAAAGAAAACTTTCTAGATAAATGTGACAGAAGACATTGGAGCAGGAAAGAACTCGACGCACACAATCAACTGGCGGCGGAAGCAGCAAATGCAGGAAGACCGTCTCTTGGCCCGAACGAGGCAGTGGCCAGAAAGGGGTGGCCAGAAAGGGGGTGGCCAGAAAGGGGGCACGGCTTCTGAGGACACTCCTCTGGTGGGCACTGCAGGAAGCAATCAGTAAGGACACTATCTCAGCTAAATTTCAATGCTCGCCGCCCAGCTATGTTTGCCTTCAGCCAGTCATTCATTCATTCATGCCCAGCCATTCATCCTGGCTTACCCACACTCGCCCATTCCCGCACAGATACTCACTCACACATATGGAAGCTACTCCGCCAGGAGGACAAACAGGCTGGCTGTCTTATCTAATGTGAAAGGTTCATTGGTTTTACTTTTCTATCAAAGTAATAAGCTGGAAATGTTTGCCATGCCCCCTGCAGCCCAATACGCCCTGAAAGGCAACCGTGGCTAAAACAGAGGAAGGCGGAAATGCACAGAAAGACCGTTTCAGGTCCTAAAAAATTGCAGCTTTTTTGCGGTGTTCTATGAATTAGTTACCTCAATGATTTTTAGATAATTACGGAGCTGTGTTTTTTTATACATCTTTAAGTTGTCTAACATGAACATATGAATATGAATATTTAGAATTCTAAATTAATAAGCAATTGATAGGACAAATACAAGAGAATGGAACATAAATTTTAATACTTTTGATTCTGAATTTGTAACAATTTTAGCAATTGCAAATTAGCTTGAACATAATTGAAAACAGTTTTTTTAAGGAAAAGCTTAAAAAGCTACGTATTGACATTATCGAAAACTCTAGTATTTTTTGTAAGTGCAGAAAAAAAAGACAGAGGAAAACACAACAAGCTGGAATCGGAGACAGTTTGAAGTAAAGTTTCACTGAATTTGAAGGGGAGGGAGATGGAAAAAATGCAATGAAATTGCACACTTGCGTTTCCGCTTGGCCTGTCATATAGGAAAAACAGCAGAAAGGACATATCCACTTGCGACATACAGCATCCACACGCTCGAATCATTGATGACACACCTGCATCTCCTGCTCTAGGACACGCAGATTGGAATTGAAAAGGCTCTTCGGAAGCTACAAAGTTTGTGCTCTTAATTCATTTTGTTGTAAATTGTTTTCGTCTCAATTGAGTTTACAAAAATATCCGAGAGATCGAAATGGGCAAGCTCTACGGAGTTTATTGAAAGAATGCTGAAATAACTGAAACGAATGAACAAATCGGTCTTACAAGTCGGCAGTTTATAATCTCCAGAGTTAGAAGTTAGCAAGTGAGTTTTGTAAGAATAGCTAATGATTTTTTGATTATGTGTACTTTTGACCTTTTATTTAGGCTCAAAGGTTTATTTTCTCGTTCCGACAGGTCATTGGCCGTCATCAATTTCAGGCTTTATGACAGCATTTTTGCAACTCATGATATTTTAATTGGCAAATATTATTGTTGCTGACTGCCATTCATTATTTTCATGCATATGCCTGAACGTCTCAGACAGAGCGACAATCAGTAAATCACTTACAAAATACTACATATATTTATATCTGTGTGAACGAGTGTAGGAAAAGCAGTTGAAACCGAGCCTGTATCTCAGTAATTACGCAAATATTTATGCTCGTCTGTGAATTATTACGTTTATAGCACTTGCGTTGTCAATTACGCAAAACAACAACACTGCGTCCCCAAGGCAGTCGAGAACGTCCTATGATATTAACGAATCTGCTCGATGGAAGGCAGAAAATTGATTTCTAATTGCCGACAGATACTCGTCGAGCCCGATTTCAAATGCCGAGCAATGAGTTTGTTAATTACCTGTCAACGGTCAAGATGTGTCCATCTCGCAGTCGAATCCAGGACACTGATTTGTTGCCCAGTTGCTTGACCTGTGGGAATAAAACAAACCAATTAATAGATAAGTGGTTAGGCACTGGTATTTTTCACAGCAAAATTGTGTATTAATTAAAGTGGGGGACAAAATAAACCGGTGTTTAATGAAACATGTGTGGTTACGACTAATTCATTTATTTTGTTTGAAATAATATTTTGTTCTAAAGATAATAATGTATAGTATATCATAGTGTCATGGCTAAATACTAAAATTAAAAAAATACTGATTATAAGATGTAAGCAAGTAAGCAAAACCCGCTTTTGTCAAGTTTAAACAAGTGCCTTTCGTTCGCTAGGTATTCGTCACTGGTCCAATTCATAAAAATGCTGCACCATTAATAAATGTGGGTGCCACAGATTTTCCAAGTTTGTAATAATAACAGTGGGTGTGGCAAAATAAAAAAAATTAATTAGAATCACTAGGGCTATTACCAATATTCTTTATTTCGAAGTTTTTAAGAACAGACATCTATTCTTTTAATTATTCTGAACGAAAATATCGACTTTATAGAGTCGCAAATGATTCTTTCTATTTAATGCAAGTTCATTAAAAAAAAACTTCTAATCTATTAAAATAAAGCTGTTAAATCTTTATTTCAACCTACAACTCGCTATGAAATATAACTAATTAAAGTAAACAGAATCGAAATGCATATACATATATGTAATATGCTTAATGATTTTAAACGTATTTGGAATTGTACGTCGTTCTCAATTCTATAAACTTGTTTTGCAAATAATTATTCTCCAGATCAGCAGCTGGAGTATCATTGAGATGGGCCTTAACTTAGATTAAGCCTTCAAGCTGCAGTATCTGCAGTTACCCGTTCCTGCTTAACAACAAGGACGACCTCTGGTGACTAGATTGTCTATATGGGAATTGCTCAACAAGTGGAAGAGGCACGTCAAAGTGGCTCCGCACACACGAGAATAAATTACTGCAACCAAATGAAGCCGGGGTCAGGAAGTGGTAAGTGGGGCTGGTGGTTGCCCACAGAAACTACATTGAAATGTAATTAAATACCGAAATGAACATGAAACCCGGCCGACGGATAGACAAACGCAGGGCGCCATCGAGGCTCTGGAGCAGAGGCATCCGCATGTTTCAGATATTATCGAAATGTGTCGTAGTTAGTAAATCTAAATGCATTTATAGGCGCACACACAGCAGCATTTCGTTTGCATTGAAACGATTTTGTCTATTCAACACTTTGGTCCTGGCTCGGTTTTGGACTCGGATTTAATGGTAGGCAGTAGTACGAGTAGTAGGCAGTAGTCAGTTGGAATCGGACTCATGTAGGGAATGCATTAAATGTTTAGGTGCTGTCACCGCCCTGTAATTCCGTTGTAATGGTCTCATTAGGCGCTCGTTGCATGTGTCGCATTTAATTGGGCCTCGGCCTGGTCGAGGGTGGATTACTAATTTAGTTTTGTGGAAAATTCTATTTCCGAGATTACTTTTGATTGCGACGACATCGAGAACCAGTTGGCAGTCTGCAGTCCGCCCCCACTTAATTGGAGTCCGAATTCCTTGGCCGGAACAGAAGTTAAGCTTCGAAAATTACAAATAAGCTGCTGCTTGGAATATTTCAAATAAGCCATTTGCCTCGAAAGGATGTGCTCCACCTGATGTCATCGAATGCCCGGACAAGTGAGGCCAATTTGAAAAGAAGCGGACCGAAGAGCCATCTTTGTCTGGCTGCCGTCCTTGTCCCCGGGTCCTTCTGTGCCTCCTGCTCCGATGTCCTGGCTAAGAGGACTCACTCAACTGTGGCACTTAATGCAGCATTTGAACAGAGAACGGAATGAAAGGCTCCCGGAGAATGGAGGACGGCCAAAGGAGCATCGAGCAAACTGGGCGTGTCATCCTGGACGGGCATAAAGTGTAAAGCCAACGACGAGTAATTGACGAAAATTGAGATGCGAGCCTTATACTTTTCATTCCCGGATCGGGAAATGATGGCTGGCCTGGAGGCTCGAGGTTCGAGGTTGGAGTTTCGAGGTCGGGGAGCTGTCTAGGCTGTCGTTTGTTAACCTCTGTGGAGGAGCACTTAATTGACCATGACAACAAGAAATTAACATTGCTCGGCTGGAAAATTACAGAACACAGGCCGCACGGCCTCCCCATACTGAATAAAATATTTCAGCCGCGATTAATGTGAATTTTCCATCGCTTTGTTCTTGGCCTGGAATTTGAGACCTCGCATTTTTGGCTTTAAATGAGTTGCAAAAACTTTTAAAAGTAAATTGCATGCATAAAGCCTAAATTTGATACTTGTGTTTGTATAGAAAAGAAATTTATTTTCCATTTTTATATCAAATCCATAGCGATGCTCGAGGCGTTCTTTAAAAGTTATTAAGAAGAATAATGTTGGTTCAGTAAGGCTACGCATAATCTGTGTGCTTTTTAGCCTAAAATCAAATAAACAGCTGAGGGACTGCCAAATTCTTTAATCCCTGGCTCAATGCCTAAATTAAATAAATACTAAATAATTAGAAGGACCTTCCCATTGGCAAAAGAGTCACGTAACAAGACTGACCTCGACTCCGAAAACTTGGCAGCGATTGCGATGCCATAAAACTAATTTGTTGGAATTTAATTTTCAGTTTTCGTTTATGCTAAATAAAATATTTACAACTTGTAAGCAAACAATTTGGCTGGCTGCGTGCCGAGGGCGTTTCCCATTTTCCGACCACCCCCGAACTGCTTTTTCCCCAAATCTTCCTGTTGGCCTTTAAACACCTGCTCAAACAATGAAAAGCGTGTGAGAAATCGCCCGAGAGAGTCTTGGCCACGTTTGTTTGGCATTTGTTTTTGAGCCTTGCGTTAAATAAACAGGCTGCGGTCACACCTCGTCGTCCTCGCTCACGTCCCCGTGCGTCCAGGCATCCGGCAAATATTTGCGCAATAAAATTTAATGTGTTTTCTATTAGGACCCCACCAGGTCACGCTGATGAGGGCAGCCGCAACAACAATAATGGTAATAATTACAAATAAAAACACGCACGCACCTCCACTAAACAGCACGCAACTTATGAATAAACAGGCGGAATCACTTAAACTAAACTCTTTTACTTCGTTTAAATTTCAATAATATCTTTGTTTTATTAATATATGATATATGAATAAAAAAGTATATGAGTATAAAAGTAAACTCAAAAAAAAAAAATAATTTTCTTGGCTTAGTTGGTTTGACGAAGTTATACTGTAGGGTCAACTAAATGCGAAATAACGCACAAGTTATGAATTTATTTTTCTGCTAGTTTAGCTTGTTTGCCTTGGGAAATTGAGATGGGATGTGGGGGTGGTGGTGATGGTGGTGGTGGAGATGGCAGAGATGTAGATGGCAGAGATGGAGGAGCACTCACCCGACAGGGCAGATACGCGTGGGTCCCGATCTGAGTGGTCACATTGGAGGTGGCATAGCCATCCAGATAGGGCTCCACGAGTCCCGATGTCGCCGACAGGGCGGATGCCTCCGGCAGAAGCGAGGACACTTGAGCCAAGCTGGAGAATGCGGTCGCCGATGATGGGTCGCCGCTCTCATCGGAGCTGATGGCGGTGGAGGCTGCCGATGACGACGATGTCCCTAACGCTGCTCCTCCTCCTCCTCCTGCTCCTGGTCCAGATCCTCTTCCTCCTGCCGCCTCCGCTGAGGTCTGTGTGTGCGATGCTGAAATTGATTTGGGGGCAGCCCAGAGAAACGAGAGAAAAAGTAAGAGAAAAGTGGATTTCTTGTTAATCGAAATGACAATTTTGGGCTTCGATTTCGCCAAAGCACATGTCACGTACACGGCGCTACTGATGCGGGTGTTTGTGTTCAGTAGAAGGGGAAGGGGAAAGGAAAGGGGGCTTTGGGGAGAAATCGGTTAGTTGATTGGTTAGCTGTAGGCAAACACGCGACTTTAATTTGCATACGTATGTAGCAACAAGGAAGCAGGCAAGTACAATTTAATTCGACATAGATGTACATTGTTCGCTCAAGAGTGTTTGGGGTTATTGTCAAATGTTAGTCTTCTTTTGTATATTAAGAAGTTGGTATCTTGGTACATCCCTATAAAAAGGCACCCCCCATTAAAAATAGCTAAGGCTGAAATTCGTTATCTGTCGTAAACATTTTAAACAATATTAAAGTAAGCAAATATTTAAAGAATTCAAACTTTACTTTAAAAACTTGTGTAGAATTAATTTAGACGTGTATTATTTATAAGGAGTATATGAAAAATAATTACCAAATTTTAAGTGACTAAAAAATATTTCATTGATATTTAAAAAGTTGTTTTCCACTAGTTATCAAACATAAACTTTAAGCTTTTAGAGAATCAACAAATAACCATTATAGGGGTCATATGTTTCAATAAAGAATATATGAGATATTTTTGTTAGATTGAGAATTGTTCTCCAATAAACTGCAGCTGATGTTAGTAAATTAGTTTAATGTTATTAATATAAATAATATCAAAGTTTTTGAAAACAAACTAAAATTTTTTGAAGCCACTGTAGGCATAATTCCGCATCTAAGATTTCTACCCAATTTCACTGACAGAATGATTTCTTCTGGCCGCTTTCACTTGCCCCACAGAAGCAGCTGTGCAGGCAACAGTGACAAGTTAACAACATTAAACGGGAACGTGGGAAATGAGAGTATGGCGTTTAAGCCATATCCACACAAAACCGCCAAGTCAGGAGCAGGCGAAGAAGAAGGTCCAACCGCACTGGCTGGGCGAGTGGGCGGTGACCACTCCTGCAACTGATGGGGCATCCTGCGGCTTCCTTTCACATCCGCCCATCAGATACACACACGTACTTGTCTGTTTGGCAAATACCAGTTTTCGGTTTCAAATGAATCGATGGCGTTTAAGTGGCTGCCGGGCGTCGAAGTCGCCATCATGATTTTCGCACCGCGGCAAAGTTTTTTAATGAATGCCGTTCATTAAAATTGATTGTTGTTTGGTAGGGTCAGCCCACCACCGCCATTTCCACTTCCACCCCCTTTGGGTGCAAATATTGTCCAACGTCCCTGCGGCGCAGAAATGTCGATGAGTTTGCAGAATGCGGAAGGTCCGCTAAAACGCATGCTATTTGCTGAATTGCCAATTAACTGGCAATTTCGGCTAAAGCGGACCGAAGCAGACCCATCGAATCCCCATCTTGCCAATCCCCTCAGCCAAAGCAATTGATTTTATCCGTCTGGGCCTTTATTTCTGCCCCATGACTGAACAACATTTTAGGTATGATATTAATTTTTGGTGGTAGCTTGACAGCGAGAAATCGGCTTTCGAGTTTTGACTTGACATAATTGCGCCTGCCGTTGACAGTTTGATATTCCTTTCGGTCTGCAGCCTCGAGACCTCAATTTCAGACAAATCGATGGTTAAAAATGCTAAAGATGTGGTTAAGATGAACTAACACTTAAAGTGATTTAAATATAATGGTAAAAAAGGGTTGCTTGTAACTACAAAAAAAATTACACCGAAGGAACTACACATAAAATTGTAACTTTAACAGTGAATGTATGCTCAAATTATTAATTTTTACAACGCAAAAAATAATAATCTTTTAAAATATGTCGACATTTCCCACTGATGAGATAAATAAAAAGTTAGTTTACGCACAATGGAATGATAAACATGGATATATGCATTCGAAAAACGTCAGAAAAAAGTACCAGATCGGACATAACCATGGATGAATTTGTGCTCCAATTAAAACGACGAATGTAGCGTAAAATGATTTCGAGTTTGACAAGTTGTACATCAATTTAATTGGTGCCAGCCCTTGATGCCCAAAAAGGTGGCAGTGACAGTAACAGTGAGTTCCTGGCGCATGCACAGCTGAAATCAGCAATCATTTCATCTATGCCTATTTTTTGCCTTTCAGGATGTCGTTGCTGCCCCCGCTTTCCCCCCTGGCCATCGAATACGGCACTGACAAGGGGGCAAAGCCACGGCAACAGCAGGAAAAAGGAAAATAGTCGAGGAGCTGGGGAAAGTGGGAGTGGGGAGAAGAGAGTGGAGAGTGGAGAGGGAAGTGGAAAGTAGGGAGTAGGGAGCAGGGGAGCGGAGGCGGTGGCGTAATTGACAAAAGGTTTCATGCATTCAATGCCACTGCCAGCCATGCTCGTTGTCGTCCTCTGACAAATACAGCGCCCCGACTGACGGCTCGACACTCCCGGCCAAGTTGTAGGGCCGGGCCAGGAGGACATGGCCGCTGGCAGTCCAACACCACCAGCAACACCACCACTCCCACACACACATACACACACACACACATACAATCAACGCAATCGACACGCAAAAATTGGAGAGCAGCGCGCTGAAAAGATCAAAGCCGTTCAATTGTCAGTGACGACAGCCGGAGAGGTTCCTCGGATGTGGCGGGCTTTTTCGGGTGGTGATTTGTCAAAGCAGCACCCTCAAGGCTACCGCCCCCTAGTTGCCGCCCAAATGTTTAGCTCAACTTTCACCAAATAAAACAGATGCCAGAAATTTGCTTAGTTTGCATTTCCACACGAAGCCGTTGATTAACGTATGTGGCAGGAAAATAGGAGGAATTCCAATCAGGGAAAAAGAAAGCAAATTGAAAACAAGGACGAACGCAGATCAAGAACTCTTTATATCGAGGAACTTATCTTCTTCTTCACGGTTTTAATATTAATTCAATTGCAGATATTTTCATTGAATGACACAATTTCAGAGGCAATTTGGATGGGAATGAATTAATAATATTTTTAAATTTAATAGGTCTTTGCAAACCAATGCGCAATGTTAAAAAAAATCGTTAAGCCAGGTTATTCGTAAATGGTTTTTAAAAATTCAAATTATTTCACAAAAATGTATACATTTTTTCTTCATAAATTTCTTTGCTTGCATTAGGTTAATTTCGTTTTAGTTTGTTGTAGTATTTTACTATACAATTTTTTAAAAATTAATCCAAGTTATTTTGAAGAGGTTAAACAGATTGCCTTGCAACTCACAATGTTGTGACAGTAGAAAGTCATTTTGTAGATAAATAGTTATTTGGATACACACAAACAAATTCTACGCCCGGGCTGGTGATCTCTGACGAGTTCAAGGTGAGTGCAAGTCCGGTGATACTTGGTCACTTTCCACTCAACTTTTCCTATGTCAGCACGAAACGAAGATGTGCAGCCCCTGCTGCGGATCCTGCTGCGGCCCTTGCTGCAGCCCCTGCTGCAGTCCTTGCTGTTCGCCGTGCTGCAATGACTGCTGCGGGCCCTGCTGCAGTCCCTGCTGCGGCCCTTGCTGCGGCCCCTGCTGCGGGCCCTGCTGCAGTCCTTGCTGCACTCCCTGCTGCTGCGGCCCCTGCTGCTGTCAGCCGTGCGGCAAGTGCTGCGGCCCCTGCTGCACCCCTTGCTGCGCCCCCTGCTGCACCCCTTGCTGCACCCCCTGCTGTGCTCCCTGCTGTGCTCCCTGCTGCGCCCCCTGCTGCGCCCCCTTGCTGCAGCCCCTGCCGCAAGTGATTCTCGCGAGCGATGCTGATATCGAAGGCAGGAGAGGATCGCGAATGTCACCTCTAGTTCGTCGAGCTCGTTGGAGAACCGTTGAAACCCATCTTAAATTAACAACTGAGGCATTTAAATACACGAAAAGTCAAGAGCAAAGCAAAGTTTTTAGCCCCCAAAAGTGGGATATAAGGGCTCTGGAACCATCTGTTCCTCGGGCCATGTTAATAAAGACACAGATTAGACAACGGGGCCCAGGTAAAAGTTGGTCATCCCCAACTTATGCTTGCTTGTGCTGCGTAAACTTTTTGGCCTCTTCCGAAAATTAATTAAAATCAGTTACAACTTATGTGACACGAGCACACACACAAAAGAAATAACATTACAAGCCGAGATGAGTCAACTACATGACAACCAAACTTGTTCGAAAACTCGCAAGGGCAACCGAAAACTTGGGCTTAAACAAAATGTGACAGGTTACTTTAAATTTATTTAAGTTCAAGAAGCTCATAAGTAACTTTGAAAAGAAATGAATAGTTAAAGGTGTCTCAATATCACATTCAGTAATTAATTTATACCTTTTTATTATTTTCAAAATAATAATTATTGACGTAGGTTTATTATTATTTGAAGAGCAAATAGTAATCGGTTCGCCATGGTATTAAAGGCAATGCCCCACCGGAAGTTATTTACACAAAGATGGCGGCAGCTGACACAACTTTGCATACTTTAATTAAACATTTTGCAACACGCTTGTGCAGGCAAAGTGGATTCTCGTTAAATGTCTCAGAACGTAGCCTGCAGTCCTGGGCCACGAGTGAATATAACTTGTGACATGCTGCCAGAGCAGCAGTTGTTTAATCATTTCACTCGAAATGTTTTTAAGCCCGTCGGTCATTGCTTCCCATTTTCCTCAGTTTGCTCTGTTCTTTTCCTGACCTATGTGAACTTAATTAGGGTTAATTAATACTAGAAAAACACACAGACGGTCGGACATTGGGACTTACATATTGACAAAAGGCAAATTGGTATGCCCAAGAAGTAGCCTCGCACACATGTGGGATGAGGTCCTTGGCCCAGAAAGGATCTGGTCCCTGCACAGGAAATGAGTTTTCAAAGGCCGGAAGGCAGCAATTATGGCAGTCGCTTTGTGTGGACTGTTAATTGGTCTGGGAATCGACGAGGCCGACGACTTTACGATATTTCATAAATTGCAATTTTACGATGCCCTCAAATTGAAACCAAATTGCAGGCTCAACCTTGAGATTTGCATATCCAGAGCGTCCTTTTCGATCTTATCCCCCAGCTGTACCCATACAGTCCCCCTCTTCCACATTCCACATTCCCCCTACTTTCCACCGGTTTGTGTACTTTGTGAGTGTCGACGTCATGTAACGTGGCAAATCCAATTTGGCCACGCCCATGGGGCGGAAAGTAGGAGGAATCGTACCCCCGACTGCTCACTCAATCTCAATAAAGCAAAAGAAAATTTGCCCTCAGTGGGAAGGGGGAAAAAAGTGCTTTTGGCAAATTTGTTATTGGCCGGGTTCGTGCAGCATTCTTTGAGGCGCAGCCAAGGAAATTGGATGAGGCCAGGTGCCAGCTGAGATTCATCCTGTATGCAGGTAAATATTTGCCCATAGATGACTCTCGGCTTAGTGAGTTGCACTCCTGGCCCACAGCTTTTTCGGATTTAATTTTCCAACTGCTTCAGATGCTTCAATGGCCTAATTAAATTCGCTTTTCCAGCAACCGTCATGTAAAAAGATAAATCAAAGCCAATTTCATCATTGCATTTAATGAAAGTCGGAAATCTTTCTCGATAACATTTTATTTACCAACTCTGACCCACCTGTCAGTAAATATTTGATATGCGAGCTTGTGCCATTTTTAATTATGCCTCAAACAAACAATGCGACCGATATTTGGTTTGCCCGCTGCAATAATATTTAGCCAGTTGTCCTGATTTTGACTGCGACGCACTTGTTTTAATGCATAAATAAATATTTGTGTTAAAGCGAAAAAACCGCAGGCCCAACACACGAACATCATTTGAACGGCCATCCTGGTCCATATGTACTACAAAAAAAAACTGACAGGCATTAGATGTCGCTTAATAAACCCTAATAGTCTGTGGTATCGTGTCGGAGTGTCTATCAAAAACACACGTTTCGGACCGCCCGCCTTCCGTTGTTCTATTTTCCTGTTTTTCCATCTATCAATTATGCACCGAGGTCGTTGGCAAGGGACAGGGAAATTCGCTTTTATAATATTATTTGCTTTGAAACGAAAACTGTCAGAAATGACCGCAAATGTAAGCGGCGCCGGGTGATGGAAAATGCTTTTGCGACCGGTTCAGTTGCATTTGTCGGTTTGACATTTTCAGCTTGCTAACTCACAAGCGACAAAAGGAATTTCATATAATAGAATATAATAACAAAATTTTTTTTATATGAAACGATAGATTGTCAGACTCAAAATCAAAGCTAATATTTTTTGGTTAAAGAAATCAATTTTTAATACTACAAACATATTTCTGATATTTCAAAAATTTGCTAACTGACTTTGGATCTTAGAAAATTGTTTCCATTTAGCTAGTAGGTATTAGGTAGGAAGATATTGTTACTAAATAATTGTTTGCTATAAATTCCTTCCTAACACATCGTGTAATTCGCATGGGAATGATTTTCTTCTCAATTACATAAATCATCAATGTTTAAAATTATGCAGGTTCTTCTTCACAATAAAGCTTCAATTTAAGCCAAAGTTTAGCTCATCAAACTAGTTTAAAATTTCTAATGAAATTGTCTTAATAATTTTCGTTATTTTCTTTCCCTTCGGCATTAACTTGAAAGGTATTCAATTCAACATCTTGAAGATATTTTACAACTTCTTTGCCCTAATGGCGCTCATTTTATCGAAGTGGGTCAAAAAACTTACGAGATTAATTAAAATATTAATTACGCACTTGCGAAAGTAAAACAGCACAATACATATTGCCTTGTTCGCTCTTAAATTATAGTTTTCGATTAAGCTTCCAATTAGAATTATTAAAAACCCACGAATGTATAAACATAACAGCGCTAATTCGCGGAAAAACAGAATTTTTAATTTGTTTAACAAATCCCGCATAAAATATGGCAACAGAGTGCTCCCGTATTTTGTGGGTAATAATTAATGTAATGTTCATGTGCGAACTTCGCTCGGATAGAGTCATTACAGGTGCGCATGCCATGAATCTGGGTATATACTGTATAAAAGTTAGGGGGAGTGGAGTCGTGTGGGTCGTGAAACAGCTTGATATCTTTACTGCGCTCTCTACCTGTGGCTATGGTTCATCCATCATTAGTTGGACACAAAAAAGAAGGATTTTATGATGTGGTAATGGCGGCATAAAGGACTCCACGAGAGTGTGTGTGCGTGGGAATATATTTTTTATGTTTTATGCCTTTTGAGCAAACAAGTTGGCGTATTTTTGAGCTAAGCTCGCAGACATAAACTGTCGGCTGGCCCCTTCACCGGCCCACAAACTAAGCCACAACTTCCGCAACGTGTCACTCGGGCCACCCACATCATTACGACCTCCACGCCCCCTTACACATACACTACCCTCCTTCCCCCCGTTCTCCATTACACACAGATACCCACTAGCACACGTCCAGGACTACTGGCTGTACGTGCTAAGTTGTTATGGCGCTGCTCTGCGTAACTCTCTGCTCTGTCGCATAACTTAGTTTTCCACGCTTAATACAGTTTTACGGGCCACGCCTCCCGCCTTCTGCCTCCCGCCTTCCGCCAGCCGCCCACCTTCCTTGCCCGTGGAAATACTTTAAAACGCATAAAAATTCCGACACGTCGTAACCTCAGTGCTTTTAACAGCTTTTCCCCTGCTCATCGCGAGCCGGAGTCATAGTCGTAGCCAGATCCAGATCCAGATGGAGAGCCCTCGCCCCAGAACCCCTGCATATAAAACCAAACCCAGAGTCAGCAATCAACTGCACTTCGCAGGGACTCTCGCTTTGTTGCAAGTCATGCACATCAAGTGAAGTTCCTGTCGGTTGTTGTTCCTCTCACACGAGGTACGTTTGAAATAAGTGGGTATACGAGACTTGAGCGGACATGAAAACTTATACATCAGTTTTAATTTGCAGACACAGAAAGCGATATCAAAAAATCATATGCATTCAGATTATATTAAAATATTTTAACCTAATCTTAATCCCAATTTTATTATAATGTACAATAAGCGTAAAATAGCTAGGTTTTTTTATGGAATAGAAGATAAGGAAGCTTTACTAAACATTTGAAAAATTTAAAAGCCTGCATCAGACTGCCAAGTTTATTTATCGTTATAAATAACTTGTGAAAGGCTTTTCGATACAATTTCTAATATTCTGTTATTGACTAATGAAAACATTAATTTTTTATATTATTGTATATTTTATTTCGATCATAATTCGAGCTTTGACGACATTGATGAGTTGTAAAACTTCGTTAAGTAATGTTTTTCTCTACTTGAAATCTTATCTTATCAACTTTATTTCAATTATTATTAACGATAAAAAAATAGTATAGTATAATAAGGTATCCTAGAGTCGGGACCTTCGCTTATGGCGTTTGCAATTTTTGTTTATAGGACTGATGTTGTGGTCTAGCGGACGCGGATGCTCCGTCTGTTCTGCTGCAGTTAACCTGCAAAGTAGCGCAATTTGTTGATAGCGGGTTAAATTTCATTTGCTCGCACACTTTTAATATATTTCGTTTCATGTTTTGCTCCTTTTTTCCACGCTCCCTAATGATGTTGCTGACAGGATGAGGCCGAGATAGAGCGGGGAAAATAAGACGCATGTGGAAAATGTGGCGCATCCTAAACACGTTTTGCATGAAGAATAAACGTAATTGTTTTTTCTGTGTCACAGTCGTTTATTTGAACAAGGTGCCAGCGAGAATTATGCCGAATTAAATTTTAAATTGAATTGCTGCCTGGGGAGTGATAAATATTAAACGTTTTTTACATGTTGATAACCATGTCTGGACTTCTACCCTAAGTTGACTAAAGTAAAGGTGTACTGAATATTTATTTTTCGTTTCTGACAAGTAACAGTAGGAGTAAGTTGAAAAAATTACAGATTATTATTTACATTTTCATAGAATGAGAA